TATATATATAGAGAGACAGCGATATTGACCTACATATTACCCATTGAAAATGGGAAACGAGGTTATAATGGTTTTGTTAAATGTATGTAACATGCAGAAGAAGGCGTGGTAGATCCCATAAAGTATTTATATTCTTAATGAGGGCGACGAGCTGAGTCGACTTAGCTCTGTCCGTCCGTCCGTTTGTCCGTATGCTTGAACGCGTCGATCTCAGAAGATATAAGAGCTAGAGAAGAAATTCTTTTTCCTAGATCCGTGTCTAGCACGCGCATATCGAGACTTTAAATATCGATAACTTGCCCCGTTATTTTGATACCGATAAAAAATATTATCGAAAATCAGTAATAAATGTATATCTTTAGTCGGGCAGTCTCGACTAGAGCTTTCTTACTTGTTTTAGTATAATTTTCATAGTAGATTTGCATTAAACGGATATTTAATAATTTGCGTGACTTGACTATGCCGTATATAGACATCTGTTATAGGCTTCGCTCATTATGGATTATCAAGTGTTTAATCATCATGTTAAAACTAATGTTAATCATGATTGTAAGGTGCCCAACAGCAATTGCCGATATAAATGGCAAACGCAACAACAACAACAACAACAACTAACCGAATAACTGTGAAAACAGTTTGTTGCTACAGCATTGGCTCTCTGTCGTTGTGCCCCGCGTCTCTATGTCTTCCTCTAGCCAACCCTCGTTCGAAATCCTCACGCCAAAGTCGGCAGACAAGTCGGAGCCAACCGCAATGCCAATAAAATGACAAAACATCAGAGACATCAGAAACATGTAGCCATCCACTTGCCATAGAACGAATTTTCGATACGCTAACAAAATACTGAATTAATTCTAAATTTCCGCCCTGTTCCGCTATATGTTGACTTCATAGGCCTGACACTGACAGGGACTAGCTGCGCTTCTCAAGCATGTGTTTTCCTCTCTCTCTCTCTCAATGTCCTGATTTCCTTCTATGTCAGATTTGTAAACGTTAGCACTGGCTGTTCTGCCTGTCCTCTGCTTTTTGTCCTTCCCTTCTTCTCTTTATGTCATATGCTTAAACGTTCCACTGGCTGCTCTGATTGCACTCTATTAGATTTCTTCCGCAACTAGTTCATATATAGATATATTTCTATATCTCGCTTTTATATTAAGACTTAAGCTTGATCACATCTCCCATAGTTGGGCAGGATTTATCAGCCCACTAATATGCTCTATTGTATGTGAGTGTAATTGAAAATGGAAAATCAATGCAAAAGTATGATAGGGGCTTGGCTGCGGTGCTGGCTGAAGACAATCCAAGACGAAGACGGCCAAGCTGGCCAAGACGTCTTATGGCTTATGGAGCCATAAAAAAATGTATTACAAGAGCAATGAATCCACGTATTTCAGTTGTTGATGTTGCTGTTGTTGTTGTTGTTGTTGTTGCTGTTGTTATTGTCGCCATTCAGTCTGGGGAAGTAACTTGCCCACTTTTGGGTGGCAGTGGGTCAAAGCAATTAGGTTGCTTCTTCATAGCAGACCAAAGCTGCAAGTTAGACCAGACACTGAAGCCCATACGCAATTCCTTTTCCGTTGAGAACTGTCACAGCTATGACTTGGCTTAAGGTAAGGCTGAAGCATTAAAGAGTTGACTTGTTCTAATATTTGCATTTTTCCAATATGATGCAAGAGTGT